TTGTTTTTGCTTAAATTTTGTTTTATTTTGTGGTATATGGCAAATTTTGGTGCTCCTACGTTTTGGTGTATGATGACGTATATAAGGTAAATGTCGATGAGTGTTTAGGATGCAATTCAATATATAAATCTGGCGAGTGCTGAGCAATTTATAAGACTTATGTAGTTCAAAAGTTGAAAATCGAAACGGTTTAAAGAACATTACCTTAATTAGAGATCTTTGAGCTCTTTCTAGTGCTATTATACGTGTTTTTGCTGCACCACCCCAAACAGGTATACAATAACTCAGTACCGATTGCACAAGAGCTTTGTAGATGGTAATGAGGGTCGTTTCATTTGCAACACACCTGAGTTTTTTGAACACCCATGTTAGTTTTCTTATCCTGTCAGCGATGCTTTCAATGTGCTGACTCCATGTAAGATGCTGATCAATAGTTACACCGAGATATTTAATGGTACTAGTCCTGGTGATTTTATCACATGAGCAATTACTATGGCTATTTAAATAAGGATTATGGCAGGTATGAACTGTTAGATTAAAATTAGAATCAGGTTGTGTATTTTTCCGTATAGAAAAAGGAATGAATTTAGTTTTATTAATATTTAGGGTCAGAAGGTTTGATCTTAGCCAGTTAGATATGTGGTGGATTCCGGAGTCAGCGATAACCCTTAGATTTTCCCATGATTTTGCATTAAAAATAAGAGCGGTGTCATCTGCGTAGGTATATATTTGACAATTTTGTAGGTTTAAATTGCATAAATCGTTGACATAGATTAGAAATAAAGTAGGCCCGAGGACGCTACCTTGAGGAATACCATAGGAGATATTTGATGGACGGCTAAGATATTCACCAAGTTTGAGTTGTTGCTGACGTTCAGTGAGATAATCCGATAGAAGCGCATGAGGCGGACCTCTTATACCATATTTATTTAGTTTGTCTAACAGGATAGGAATAGAAACGGTGTCAAACGCCTTGGCCAAATCCAAAAAAACTCCAAGACATTTGTTACCAGAGTCCAGGTGCTTACTTATCTCTTCAGTCAAAGCCAACACCGCGTCCTGAGTAGAAATTCCATTTCTAAAACCAAATTGATTTTTAGAGAGCAGGTCGTTATCTATGAGATATTTTTTCAATCTATTATTTATTAGCTTCTCCAGAATTTTGGATAGTACTGTTAACACAGAAATTGGCCTGTAGTTGTCGACATCATCTTTACTTCCACTTTTATGTATGGGGGTTACTAATGCCTTCTTAAATGTTATGGGAAATCGGCCACTATTAAAGCAAAGATTGTAGATATGGCAAATTATAGGTGTAAGGGTATGTCTGGCCATTTTAATAAATAATGTAGAAATGTTATCCCATCCTGGGGCAGAATTATTGGAGAGGTTGTTTATGATTGAATTTACTTCCAATGGATCCGTATCTAAGAGAGCAAAAGAATTTATTGGGGTTGGTATTTTATTTATGTAATTATTTACTATAGGAGGGGAAGAGTTTTTTAGGTTTTCAGCCAAGTTTTTGCCTATACTAGAAAAATGTTCGTTAATAAGATTAGCAGATTCTACAGGGGAAGACGCAATAGTTGTAAGTTTATGTGTGTCGTCAGTTTTATCTTTATTAACATAGCAAATTGATTTAATATTTTTCCATAGAACTTTCGGGTTATTTTTTGCATTATCCAATATTTTCCTTTCATAATTATTTTTAAGCTTCCGGACGAGTTTATGACAGTAATTTCTGTAGCGTGTATAAGTTATTTTTAAAATTTGATTATCAGGATACTTTTTAACTTTATTATGTAATTTATCTCGATTTCGAAGACATCGCAACACTCCAGGTGTTATCCATGGCTGGATACAGCGTTTTCTAACAGGAATTGTGGTTATCGATTGATTATTCTTCATTGCCACCGAGATTGTACTAACCAAAGCATCAGCAGCCAGTGTTGGGTCTTGTATGTCTAATATTTTTATAAGCTTGGGCTTTATTTCATCAAGAGTTGTTACATAATTTACGGAAACCCTAGCTTTCGAAACATTGCGGCGTATAGGCTTATACATTAGGTTTAAGAGAACAGTAGAATGATCAGTAGGGGCATTAGTTAGTACGAGAGCTTTCGTTGGGTGAACTGTTTTTAACATCATATGATCATAGCACATTTTGTCGCGAGTTGGAAGCCTATGTGCAGGAAGTAATCCATGGTAAGCAAGTGAGGTTAAATAATTGGGGCAGTTTGTGTCTATGGAACCGAATTTGATATCTAAAATAAAGATAAAAACAAGAATAGAAAACTTGGTGGTTTTTTTCTGTAAGCATTTATTTACATAAAATCAAAATACGCTCACTTGGCCAAGATGCGGGTAACTGTGCGCACCCGAATGGGGTAAGTATATGCATATAGGGTAAGTAAGCGCATTCCTTGGATTAATCAAAATATACACAGTATTCAAGAACAAATGTTCTTAATTGTAATGCCACTTAGAAAATATTTTTATTAGTTGTCAGTCTTCGCATAAAAATAACAATTCTCATATAAAATAAAATAAACCTAAAATTTCTATAATTAAATTAAAATTAAATTATAGAAATGTTTTATTATTTTAGTTGGTAAAAATTACCTCGCATAAATCCGCTCGATAATTTTTACCAACTTTAATATAATGATTTTCCGCAAAGTAACGCCTGATTCTAGTAATTATTTTAATTATTAATATTTAGAGATCAACATATTTTAGTAGGACTGTCTTATGTATTAGAAATTAGGAAAAATATTAATTTATGAATCATATACATTTATCACAAACAAAAACACCTCTCTCTTATGCAGTGCATCCTCATCACATGACATCCTCATGTCACCAGTATATGCAATACATGCACTGACACCATTCTTTAGTATTTGGCTCTGTATATTTTTGCTTACATAGAGGACAAAAGTATTCTACTGTTGTAGAGGTGGAGGCCATAGAAAACTTTGTTCTTCCTTTTTAAAACGATGTTGTCGATTTCGAATACAAGACTCACTAATACCAATGGCACTTGCAGCAGCTCTTTTGCTTTCTTTTGCTCATGCTCAATGAGTGCTTTAGAGCTTTAGCTTTGTTCTTCAGTTACTGATGCAGGTTCTGAACCTGAAGAAAAAGATCTGTCTTTTTCTTATATAATTTCGCGGCATGGTGATGAGACGCTGAAAACTAAAATAAAAGAGTGTTAATAAACCCTACTTTACAATAAAAAAATGAACGAAAGAAAATACCACCGAAGGGGCAAGTGTACACATGCGCACACTTACCCGCGCACACTTACCCCAAAGCACTAAATTGCAAATGAAAGCTCATAAAATAAATTGAAAACAAATATAATATGATTTTGTTTATGTAAATGAAGCGTAAACATATTATTATTCAAAGAAAATACTACTTACCGTTGTGAAATCGGTAACGTCGATGATACATTGTTTTCCATTAAACAAAAAACTACGAATTTAAACACCGTATATTGTTTTTTTATGAAAATAAAAAGTTATTCATCAACCGCCGCCACAGGAGTGGACTCTGGCGTCACTTTTCGACTTAAACAAAATCCTCCCCCTGTACCCGTTAGGGAGATACACTCACTGCGCTCATTTACCCACTGCGCTCAGTTACCCCGAATGACTCCACTGGCAGATATATAAATTTGAATTTGTGCGTACTGTTTGTAAATACTGGAATTTTCTAAACAACCATTAAATTTTTGAAAGAATATTCAAGATCTTTACTCATTTCATGTCATTGAAAACTATTATATGTTCTTCTAACCTTACTTACATTATCTTTACTTATATTACTTTAAATGCTGACTATCAGCGTAAACAACCTCACACAGTGTCAGTTCAATCGCAGTGTGAATATTTTGAAATTAATAAGCTTGGGGTGAATTTTCTACCATCACCAATTATTGTTTTGTTTTTTTATAGGATAAGGGTGACACACGAGCACACAGTCCACCTGATGGTAAGTGGTTGCTGTGGCCCATAGACATCTACATCTATCTTCGATTACGAATCAAAACGCAGATGCGTTGTCACCCGTGAAGACTAAGATGGAATGCCTCGTTTCCATTAAATGGGTATGTACACCAAATAATGAACCCGACTACCAAGCGTGGCATCTATGGCAAATGTCCACCTTTATAAAAACTTTGAACAGGCGGTAATGGAAATAATATAAGTGAAATTGGTTGTCGAAGCAAAAGTTGGTATATTTTTCCTAAATAGTACACAATGCGTGATACCAGACATCCGCCAGATAGTCACGTAAATTTTTCTAATGTTCTCCTTGACGCATCTCTATTAAGGCAGCAATTTTGTGGCATTAATAATATTCTTAGTCATGGATAGTAGTGTTTATGGGTTACTTTATTTTAAGTGAGGTGTGTACTTGATACACTGTTACTATTTTTGAATAAACAAAATGTAAGCACTCCCTCACAATTGTGGGTTTCGTGAAGTGTCATTTAGACGCCTGTTAGTATTGATGAATGCCGTAACAATATTAGCAGGCGTCTGAATAACACTTTGCAACGCGTAATCACGCTCCCTCTTATTATAATACTAACTCACTACGCCAATCGGCTTAATGTTTTTTTACTTATAAGTATTTTCTCTGCAAGTGATTTGTATATTTTTATTATTGTCTCTGTAATGGCTGTAATGATGATAATGATGTTAAAGTGATTTGTAAATCTTTTTAGAAAATAAATGTCTTAAACCATTAAATGAGTAAACGAAACATGTTTAAAACAATGTCAATACTGGTCTATGATCATGATATTTATTAGACAAGTCTTTTTAAAATTTGGTCAAAAACTTGTATCAAAACTTGTTTGTCGGTGTAAATCAGGATTAGAAGCGTGTTAAGTTATCCCAAGATAACAGGTTTATTACAACTATATGTGATTGAATTGCTCTCATTTGTGTCATTATGTACATTGTACACATCAAAAGTAAAACGAAATGTTGATTCAGGCGTTAATTTTATTAACTGCTTTACTGCTTTATTTTATTAATTACTACGCTAAATATAACGAAAGTTACTGGAAACAACGTGGTGTAGCCTTTCATCCGAGGAATAAAATCTGGGGTCCATTTTGGGATTTCATTTTTGGTGAGCGGGCGTTTTTTGAAGTACTCGGTGACATTTACAAAAAATATCCTGATGCACCCGCCGTTGGTGTTGGTTCTGTGAGTTCTCCGACTGTGCTTGTCAGAGATGTTACAAACATACGACACATTATGCAAATGGATTTTGAGTCCTTCAACCACAGAGTAATTGAAGTACAACCAGGAGTCCGATTGGCTGACAGTATTCCGTTTATGAACGGCAAGCGATGGAAGCTAATGCGTCAAAGTATGACACCCTTATTCAGTGTCGCCAAACTTAAGAATATGTACAGTGTAATGGACAAAAGTGCGCAAGATTTTGTAAAATATTTGAATGATCACCCTGAGAAGTTAAAAGGAAATGCTTTTGAAACCCTTTCTACATTTTGTAGTGCAGCAATTGGCGCTTCAGTATTTGGTATTACTACAGAGTCCATCTTTGATTCACCTTTTCTTCATATGGCACAAAGTGCACTCGTGTCTACATTTTGGACAAACTTGAGATTTTCTCTTGTACTCATCAGTCCTTGGTTATTCCGAAAGCTGAAACTAGCGATATTCGCAGAGCATGAAACATTTTTCATCAAAGCTGTAAAGCAGCTGATACGGCAAAGGGAGAAGGAATGTGTGAAGAAACCTGATTTCGCAGACATATGCATAAATTTGCAAAAGAAAGGAGAGATAAGAGATGAAGAAACCGGATATAGCATTAAGCCCACTGATGAGCTTATGGCGGCTCAAGCATTTTTCTTTTTCATAGCTGGCGTTGAGCCTAGTGCAACAGCTTTGTTTTGTACTTTAATTGAACTAGGTCGTAATCCAGATGTATTGAAGCGCGCTCATGACGAAATTGATGATATTTTTAGGAAGTATAATAACACTCTAACCTATGAGAGCCTGTCTGATGCGAAATATCTTGAGAAGGTTTTGAATGAAGGCTTGAGACTGTATCCTCCTATTGGTATACTTAGAAGAAAATGTGTAAAAGATTCCGTACTACCTGTTGGGAATATCAAAATAGAGAAAGGAACAAAAATATTTCTAAGTCCATTCCAAGTTCAACGTGATCCAAAGCACTTTCTGGAACCTGATAAATTTATTCCGGAAAGATTTTCTCATGAATCAGAAGGATTTACTGATCATGCATATATGTCTTTTGGAAAAGGAAATAGGATCTGTCTAGGAGAACGATTCGCCCGAATACAAATAATGACTGGTTTTATATATTTACTTCGATACTTCACAGTAAAAACTCACGTTCAAGGTGATAAAATAAAGTACAAAAAAGAACAGTTTCAAGTTACACCCTCAAATGCTGATGTAGAATTTATACCAAGGAATATCGAAGTAATGACATAAAACAATTTTTTTAACGAGCAATGCTTAATTTATGTGTACATTTTTAAGTAATTCATTATATGATGGTGTGGTGTGACCATTATTCATATTTAACTAAAAATAGTGATTTTAAATTTTCTTCTATTTATCGTGATATATTGAAATCATACGAATGCAATCATATTAGTTTTAACTAGGCAATCTTTTATATTAGGTATCAAAGTGTTAGCTAGTAATATAATTAAATTTAATTTCGTAAGTTTATTCATTAAACTTTATAAAGAAATCATGCCTAAAACTCCCAACTTTTATATTCCGTAATTTAATTTAGTTATGTAATATTCTACATTATTTACACAATATTAGAAGGATGTAAATTATAAATGTCTGCATATTGAATATTTTTGTGGCAAAATAAATGATAGGGACTTAAGTACCTATCATTCGTTTTGACTTAATTCATGTTAGTAATTAGAAACATTTCTGTAATTTTTCCAATCGTCTGTCTGTGTGTTTGTTTATTAATGCACGTAATGACGTCTAATGTAGTTACATTTTTTAAAGGATCCAAAAATTATACAACGTATCTTGAAGTAACTTTTTGTTTGTGTTTTGTTTAAATTGGTAATTCTGTTAAAAGTAATGATGATTGTTTTTAAGTTCAATTATTTTTTACAATGGTGGCGTTGAGTCACTAAGTGAATTTAAATGATATCTCAGAAGTGGTAATTAAATTATGTACTGTAACGTCAAGCCTATCGCTGTCCCGTGCACTACATATAGATCATTGCTTATTATATTACTACTGTGTCTGAAACCAATGAAAGTAATACTATCTTAGGAAAAGTAAAACACTTAACTAATGATTAGCAAATGTAATGCAAAAAGGTGGATTGTATCTTACTTTCCTATTATAATAATAATTTCCTCCAGACCGAAGATCGGTCACGGTGTTCCAATCTTGTCTGTGACACCTCTGACATATGGTAGTACAGCAGGTACACGCTCGACTGTGGCCGACTTCATTCGGTCACAGTGATGTAGGCGCTGGACCGGAAGCTAGTTGTCGTGCAGAAGCTTGACGTGCTGAAGCTCGGCGGCCAAGTGTTTCCTATCACAGATCCCTCGTGCTCTATTTAACAAAGATTTGCCTACGGTAGCTAACGCTGAAGGATGATGATAGGATTCACCGTTTAAATATCGGTTCGTATGGGTCTTTTTTCTATACACCTCAGTCCTCCATGACCATGGGTGCTACAAAGTATCCGAAACGTCGGGAGTTAATAAAAAATAAGTTAATTAAACGCGATGGAATCCGTAAATGTAGTTTTATTCAATGTGTAGTGTTCGCGTAAATATAAGAAGTCATTATGTGGTTTTGATAACTTGATCGCAGTTTTACGTACAAGATATCTAAAGTCAAAATATTGTTTAATGATATCCATTAGTTCTAACAAAATCCTGAATATTTACACATAATTGCGTAGGTGCTTACATAAATAACTGCCGAATCTAGTTTTTAATCTCTTTATTTATTTATTTAAAGATACATAAAACATATTACAATAGTGCATAGTTATTATACAGCACCATTAAATCGCAAAACGGTTTGTATTGGTGTTTGCAGACGTCTATACGCATAAATATATTATTTTTAATAACTACCATCGTAAAATTGCTAAAGTTAAGCATGATAACAACTAACGACCTATTCATTGTATTAGCGACATGACAACAAACAGGTTTCGCTAGTTTACCGCGATGAGCGTGTACGGTATACTATACATAATATACATGCTGATTTCTACAGCAAGTTTTTTAAAATAATTATTTAATAATCTAATTATACACACACACACACACACACACACACACACACACACACACACACACACACACACATATATATATATATATATTAATATCATTTGAGAATTTATTAAGGAAGACTTAATTCAGTTCAGTTTCAGTTCAGTTTTTTTCTGTCAATTCGTTCTTAATGTTTTCTGGAAGATCGTTTAGAATAGAAGCTAATATATTAACAGTTCTCCTGTCTCCATAAAAGTTATTTGATTTTAGTTTTGCTACAGATTTTTTATTACTTTGTCGCGTTCTATCAGAAAATTTTACCATTTTTTATGAAGGAATCGTATTAAAATCTTCAATCATGATATGATATTCAAGTTTTTATATTCATAGGTATGACTTTAAAGTATTTAAAAAGACCAATATAGTTATTTTCTTTAGATTTTTGTTTTACCTTGTCATCTACAATGAGCTTTAAAAATTTTAGTTGTAAATTAAAGATCCTTCTTATGTATGTTTTGAATGTACGACCATAATTTGTTATTCCATATGAAATTATCGAATCTAATAGCGCATGGTACATTAATAGTAGTACTGAATATGGTACTTTATTCTTGATAATATAGAATGTTGCGAGCAATGACCTTAGCTAGAGCAAGGTCAGTTTAAAAATCATGTGGAAATTTCTGGATTACCAGCCCTAGAAAATGAAGATCCTATTCTAGTAGTGAGAAATCTAGCAAAGAAGTTAAACATAGAAGACCCAGTAGTGATTACTGCCAAACTTGTAGGAAACTATGGAAAATAATCAAGAATTTTTGACGTGGTAGAGCCATGCTGCAGCTATATTAATAGTATCGTTGTAACACAAATGGGTCGGCTCGACCGGGGAAGGACCACGCTCTCACAGAATACCAGCGTCAAATAGCAGCTTAATATTGCTGTGTTTCGTATGGTGAGTGTAGAGAACCGGAGACCCTATTTTCTGGAAACGAGGCATTCCACCTTAGTCCTCACGGGTGGCAACGCATCTGCATTTTGATTCGCAAGCGAGGATAAATGTAGATGTCTATGGGCCACAGCAACCACTTACTATCAGGTGGACTGTGTGCTCGTTTGTCACCCAATCCTATAAAAATATATTTATTTGGGAATTGATTAAAAATATATTCTAGTGGAGCTCAAAGAGAGCAAACTGTGAAACTAGTACTCGGAGATCTGATACCCAAGACTGACGAAATGAAAGCGGGAGGAAAATATTTGTACCCGAGGTATTAACACCCTGTAATAAGTCATTGTTGTGGAAAGCAGAACAGCAGTTACCAGGGACCTTTAAACATGTATGGTTCAAAGATGGAAAAATAAGAGCGCGCAAAGAAGATAAAAGCAAGGTCTTCATTCTGAGGAAGGAAGCGGATATTGGGACTCTACTCTGCTAAGGTCAACGATACTCTCCTAACGGGTTTGCCTACTGATATAGATATAAGTAGCATTAAGGAAAATAGGGACTGTTTAAACATCAAAACCTTCCTATCATGTTTACCTAAAGCATCAAAAATTACTTGCTTTCATGTTCATGTCAACATTAGATCTCTGATTAAAACTACTTATGTCTTTTACAGTGTATTGAATCCTACAAGAATCTAATCGATATCATTATTATTACAGAAGCTAGTATATCAGATAAACTGAGTTTATTATATAATATTGACGGCTATACAATGCACACAGAGTTAAGAAGTCATAAAAAAGGAGGTGGTATCATAATTTATGTGAATAATAAACACAACTTTCATATCACTAAAACCGCTCCATTCAGTTTTGAATGTATCGTTGGAACACTTGCAACATCGAATAAATGTACCTACACTCTGTATGCATCGTACCGACCGCCAGACAAAAGTAAAAAGCTATTTCTTTCTGAGCTGAAACACTTATTAAATAAATACTTGCATTGTGATAATTTTTTGATTGATTATAGGTGATATAAATCTAAACCTTAAAGTTATAAATAACACAATATCACAATAATATGTAAATCTAATGAGCGAGTACGGCCTATCCTGTGGGATATCTTATTACACTAGGATCGAATAACGTAAAAAAATAGTAACTAAGAGTGTCATAGATCATATTTTGTGCTATCTTGTAAACAAGGACTGTACAGTGCGGCGTTGGGTACTGTAACTGTACTGGCGGACCATCGAATGATTGCAATTGCATGCATCGCTTCGCCACGTATACAGGCTGATCCTATTACATTAATATGTTTCAAACAAGATCATCTGAGTAAAGAATTACATAATATAGACTGGAGTAATGTAAATACAATAGATTGCCCAAATATGATATACAATGATATAATAAGTAAAATAACTGAATTTTATAAAAAATCGGAATACATCATAAAAATAAAATCAACATCTAAACGAAATAATGAACCAAAAGTATAAAAAAACCTTGCAATAAAAGAGGTAATTCATTTTACAATGGAAAAAAGATCCTACTAACGCCGTGTTAAGAGTAGAGTATAATAAAATAAGAAATAAAACTCACAAAACAATAGAGAAATCTAGAAACCTATTTTATAAAACAGAAATAAACAAAAACAGAAAAAATACAAAAAACTCTGGGATATTATTGACAAAATAACAGGGAGGATAACCCGAACTGTAGACGAAGTAATAAATAAAGTTTTTAAAACAGACAATATAAATACTCAAACGGTAGCAAATAATGTCGCCTTTAGTTTTAAAGAAAATGATATGTCTAAAATAATACCAAATTGTAAAAATAATATTTTGGACACAAACAGTTATAAAAAACCGGCCTGCTGGTCTATTTATTATAAAAAACCGTGTGTACAGTAAGTAGCAAAAATATTAAAAAATATTAACGTCAGTAAAGCACCCGGTTTTGATGGCATTCGAGCTATTGACATAAAAGCCATACGTGGAAAGATTTCTTTCCTTTGACAAAACTTATAGACACGAGCATAAGAAAGGGTATTTATCCAGACGGATTAAAAACAAGTATTATTAGGCCAATTTATAAGCAACACTCCCAAAAAGAATATGCCAACTACAGACCGATATCAATACTTCCGATTATCGACAAAATAGCAGAAAAGTATATATTACGTAAACAAATACAAACATTTTACACTGCAAAATCTACTTCAAATTTAAGCACTGATATTGCATCTCCAACCAGCT